CCCTAAATTTTAATAATCATTACCATGGATAAAATCTTACCTAACCCTTGCAATATCCCTGTAAAGCGGGGTGACTCTTTTATAGCAGGAAAAAAAAAAAAACACCCAAAAGCCTATTAGAAAACCTGAGCTCAAGCCCTGGACTTGCCACTTACCAACTGTGGAACTTGGGCCATTTCATCTTTCTGGGGGTCAGTTTCCATTGAGTAGAAATGTGGACCATAGTACTTACAGTGTTTTTGTGAAGATTAGATGTGATCATAAAAGTAAAAATATTTTCTATTTTATTTATCAGTCTGTAGCTCAGGCTGGAGTGCAGTGACGCAATCATGGCTCACTGCAGCCTTGACCTCCCAGGCTCAGTTGATCCTCCCACCTCAGCCTCCTGGGTAGCTGGGACTACAGGTACGTGCACCACTCCCAGCTAATTTTTTGTAGAGACGGGATTTTGCCATGTTGCCCAGGATGGTCTTGACCTCCTGGGTTCAAGCAATCCACTTGCCTACACCTCCCGAAGTGCTGGGGTTACAGGCATGAGCCACTGTGCCTGGCTGTAAAGTGAAAATACTCTATAAACCAAAATCAAGAATGTGAAGTTAAGGCACAGGTAGGTTAGCAAAGGCTTCCAGGTTTGGGGTTCTAGAGTCTTGAAGAGCAAATCTTAGCTCCACTACTTAGCAGCTGTGTGACGGTGCATGAGTTACTTAACTTCTCTGAATGTCAGCATTCTTGTCTGTAAATTAAAGTTAGAAATAGTACCTTTCCAATAGAGGTGTCAGGAGGATAAAATGCGATAACACAGCTAAAGTGCTGAGTAGAGTGCTCAACCTGTTACTGTTAGCTGCTGCTTTTTGTTCTTGTTTGTATCATCATTGTCAAGGCCATTTTGGTGGTAACTCAACATGATGTACTAACAAAAGCTTGGGATCTGAGCTCAATGAGCCAATGACCCAGTGCTGTGTTGAGGAAGAACTACCATGCAGCCCTGATCCTCAATCCTTTCACCTGCAAAATGGGACAGTAGATAATCACTTTCATTGCAAGATTTCTGTGAGGCTGGAATGAAGCAACCTTGTTGGAGGCCCATGCATGGTAGAGGCTCAGATAGAACGTCAAGTTTCATGCAGAGACAGAGAAGCTAAGAGGTGGAGGTACTGTGGCTTCACTAAACAGGTGAAAGGTGACTATGGCTAGATTAGAGCACAGGCTCCTGGTGGAGCCTGGAGACAGGCCTGCAGGGGGGATTCCAACCCAGGGGTGTCGGGTGGAGTGGTCTTTGGGTGATCCACACTCAAAAGACCTCAGGATGGGCGTGGTGGCTCATACTTGTAATCCCAGCACTTTGGGAGGCCAAGGTAGGAGGATTGCTTGAGCATAGGAGTTTGAGACCAGCCTAGGTAACATAGCAAGACCCTGTTTCTACAAAATATTTTTAAATATTAACTGGGCATGGTGGTGCATGCTTGCAGTCCTAGCTACTAGAGAGGCTGAGGCAGGAGGATCTATTCAGCCCAGGAGTCCAAGGCTGCAGTGAGCTATGATTGTTCCACTGCACTCAAACCTGGGCCACAGAGCAAGACCCTGTCTCTAAAAATACATATACTTATTCATATACATATAATACACATACATATACATATACATATAACTTTTTAAAAAAAGATCTCAGAGCATAGCAGTTAAATGCAAAACTCTTTAAAGCCAGACTGCCTGGGTTCAAATCCTGGTCCTGAAATGCACTAGCTGTGTGGCCTCAGTCCCCTGGTCCACACAATGGGAATGATGACAGAACCTATCTAAGTTGTCATGAGACTTAAAATTGTTTGCCTTGTGCCTCACATATAGTAGGCATTATTATAAGTCTTTGAAAATACATTTAATTTATGCAACATTAAAATATATGTGCTTAGCCCAAAAAAAGTGAGAAAAAATAATTTAAATTGGAGCATTTCACTCAATGAGCATATGCGCAGAGTGCAGGTGAGATGGAAGGGGATCTGCTCTTCCCTCAGCCAACTGCACTTGGCATCCCAGGGTCTCTTGCTTGCAGTGAGTGTGTCTCTGCAAGCACTTTTTTCTTTCAATCGATACAGTGCCTAGAGATAGATTAACGACTTCATCTGACCCTCAACGACTGAGAAAGCAATCTGTTCCATCCTTGGCTTTGCCAGATGGGGAGATTCTGCATTGGTCTCCAACATGGGGAGGTCTTCATTCCCATGTGCGTTAGTCCATTCTCATTAGTCCATTAGACATACCTGAGACTGGGTAATTTATAAAGGAAAGGGGTTTAATTGACTCGGAGTTCAGCATGGCTAGAGAGGCCTCAGGAAACTTACGATCATGGCAGAAGGGGAAGCAAACGTGTCTTTCTTCACATGGCAGCAGCAAGGAGAAGTGCAGAGTGAAGTGGGGTAAAAGTCCCTCATAACACCATCAGATCTCATGAGAATTCACTCACTATCATGAAAACAGCATGGAGGTAACCGTCCCCATGATTCAATTACCTCCCACTGGGTCCCTCCCACGACACATGGGGATTACAGGAACTACAATTCAAGATGAGATTTGGGTGGGGACACAGCCAAATCATGTCACCATGCAAGACCTAAACCCACTGAGCTCTTGTGTTCTAGGCTCTCATGGTTCTCAGTCTCTCTTCCCTGGCACATGACAATCCCTGGAGGGGACCCACAGTTCTGCAAAATTTCTATATACACCCAGCCCCTACTCTCTAATTCCAGAAAGCATAATTGCAATACAGGTGAGTGGGATGGTTCAATATTAAAAGAATTATCTCAAATCTACTCTATTTAATCACTTTTAAATCAATAAATCACAAACAAATACACTACAATGAACATTAGTCACCCATGATTAATTTCTCCCTCTCTCAACATATCCAACTGAAATGGAAAACTGCTGCTGCTCAGCCTCTTTGCTAGAAACAAGATCCCTTTCTTAGTTGATTTACTGCACAGAGACTGTCCTTTGCCTGATGATGTCAATGAATCCATTTGGGGATAAACAATGGAAAAGGCAGAAGGTAGGGGAGTAGGGGAGCCTAGAGGTTTAAATCCCAGCCCTCTCTCTATCACCACTTGAACACCTTTAGGCCTTAAATCCCCAAGGTAAGACTAGAGATTTGGACTAGTAAGGTTAGGTGTACTCCTTTCCTGGTCTTTGCCAAGTCTCCATTGCATGATATAAATTATCATTCACTTAATATTTTTCTTTCTATTGTCTCTCTTCTTCCACTCAAAGCAGTTTATTTTAAAAGCCAACTTTGGCCGGGCATGGTGACTCATGCCTGCAATCCCAGCACTTTGGGAGGCCGAAGCAGGTGAATCACTTGAGTCCAGGAGTTCAAGACCAGCCTGGGCAACATGGTGAAACCCGGTCTCTACTAAAAGTACAAAAATTAGCTGGGCGTGGTGGTGTGTGCCTTTAGTCCTAGCTACTAGGGAGGTTGAGGTGGGAAGATCACTTGAGCATGGGAGATCGAGGCTGCAGTGAGCCATGATCATGCCACTGCACTCTAACTGGGGAGACAGAGCCAGAACCCATCTAGAAAAAAAAAAAGCCAACTTTAGCCACCTTTGGAGCACAATAGTGAACCTATTTATTATCTTGATAACTATTAAATGAAGAGAAAGAATCAAGCATTTATCCTGCCTTTTTCACATGAACTATACCACCAGGGAACCAAGTAATAGGTGAAGGGAGGCCCTTCTTTATAAAGGCATTCTCACTAGTAAATGAAAAATAAATGATAGAATTAGGACATCACCATTTTACAATCCCTAATGAATGAGCAGATCTAGGCACCAAGCATCAGTCGCTGCCAACGTCACTGTGAGAGACAACCAGCCATTATACGCCTTCAGATGAAAGAACAGGCCACCATCTATGGTCTTGCCAAAGAGATCCTAGCTGAGTCTGATCAAGCGTCCAGAACCAGCTGCCAATTGCATGAAATACAGAAGACAGAGGAAACATGTTGAGGTGCCCCAAGCCTCTCTCGTCAGTGAAACCCAGACCGTGAAAATGCGACAGGTCACACAGCCCAGGATATCTTCAGCAGATAATAGAACAGATAAAAGAAAAGAATTAAAGAGAGAGGGAAATCACTAAAGACATCAAATTAGATGCAAAGTGCTATAGTGTCCCATCTCATATGTGGGTTGGGCTCTAAAATCAGTCACTCTACTCAGTAAGTTGAGAACTGGATAGAGTCAAAATTAATCTTGAAAAGTCCCCAAAACATCTTAAGTCACCAGGCCATTGGCCCTGAGAAGCCTAAAAGACATCAATTAACTTTGTACCCCTTTGCATTTGGGCTCTGACCTCTCTGTCCTTGGGTATGGAAACCAAGGTCTAATTTGAACAGGGAAAAGGTAAGACGTTACTTAAAGCAGGGACCCTTGCTCTTGCAGATATGGTTGAAATCACAGTCAAGAGCAGAAAGTGGACAAAAGCTCCCTTCTCACCTTGGCAGCTATGGATCTGAGTTCACTAGCTCCTTCCCAGGACACTGTGTACCTTCCCTGAGAGTCCTTGAGGGCTGTGTTCTCAGGCGACATCCTCCCTCCAACGAGGCCCATGCAAAGGCCTCAGGCAACCTGCAGAGATGTACTTGTGCATTTATCCAAAGGGCTGGAGGGCTGAATGGAACCATCTAGAGCCACAAGCTGTGAACCTTTTCACCCAGCTCCTGTCCCCAAGTCACCCCTTGCTGTCAGAGAAAGGCCTTGCTCTGTTGATTATAAAACCAATTGCTTGAGTTCCTTTATCTGAGTTGAGACAGCACCTGCCTCAGGGGAGAGCATTTCTCAGTAGCAACCTCAGAACTCTCAGCTGACTTCCCTAGGCCTTACATCTTTCTGTGTCTAGAAAGGGAAAGGTGCAGGTATCTCTGTGGTGAGTGCTGCTAAGATAGCTTTGGCCAAAGCCTAGTGAAGCCCTGGAGGTGGAATACCCAGGGCCATGGGACAAGTTACCATGGTCTGGAAGCAGGAGTGGAGCTGGGTCAGGAAGGGCGGCTTCCCGGGTAGGGCCAGCACCCGCTTCTCCACCATAGTGCACTCCACATCATCATCTTGGATCACGACATCCTTCTTCAGGATCTTCACAGCATAGAGCTCATCTGTGCCTTTTCGTTCTGAAAGCATGACCTGGGAAAGACAGCAAGCATGTCAGGGCAGTTGGAAGGAGTCTGGGGGCCAGTTATGAGCAGCTGGTGTTCATTTGTAGCCACACTTAGCTTTGTATAAGTGACCTCTGTTGATTCTGAAACAACAGATAATGTTTTCCATTGACTTCACACTTTTATATTTTCAGACACAGGGTCTTGCTCTGCCACCCAACCTAGACTGCAGTAGTACGATCATGACTCACTGTAGCCTAGATGGTAGTTACATGATCATAGCTCACTGCAGACTTGAACTCCTGGACTCAGTGATCCTTCTGCCTCAGCCTCCCAAGTAGCTAGGGCTACAGGTAAGTGCCACCATGCCCAGCTAATTTTTTTATTTTTTATTTTTTGTAGAGACAAAGTCTTGCTATGTTGCCCAGGCTGGTATCCTGGCCTCAAGCAATCCATCTGCCCCAGCTTCCCAAAGTGCTAAGATTACAGGGCTGACTCTGCATCCAGCCCTGACCTCACACTTTGGATAGCTGAATTCAATCAAGAGAGGATGGTTCCAGGGGAGATGATTGTATATTGATCCCTCTGGGGTAAGAGGCAATGTATCAGTGCCTAGCTAGAAGGTAAGTCCCATGAGGGCAAGTATCTTTACTGGTTTGGTTTACTGGTGTAACCCAAGAGCCTGCAATAGCTCCTGGCTCACAGTACATGTTCAATAAACATTTGTTGAATGAGGGAATGAGTGAATGACTGACAAAACTACAATTAGGGCACTTGTTCCTTTATTAATTCAAGTATTTAATGTTCACTAAGAACCTGCTAAGCACTGGGGATACAGCAATAAACAAACAAGCACATTCTCTGACCCTTAACTCCAGAGAGGTAGAAAGATTTTGCAAATTAATTACAGAGATGATTAATTTAACATTTTAACAGCCTCTCCTGTTGTCTTGGGGCTTCCTTCTATGAGCTGTGCTGTGATCATATTCAGGGCCAGTTAACCGGTGTCACTCACAGACACATCAGTATTTTCCGCGTGTCACCCCCTCTCCCACTCCTCCAATCGGGGGAGCATTCTTTGAACATTCTTTAGTTTTGATTGTGCCAGAGAGAACAATGACCAGCAGGTTCTCTCAAGAAGCCTTATAGGAAGCACAAGGCAGAACCACATTATGAAGAATCCTAACCTGGTTTGGCGGCTTCTAGGAAGGCTTCCTGGAGGAAGAAACAATCAGATTGAAGCATTCACTGTACACACTGTGTCAGGTATTTTGCAGGCAATAATATTAATCACCACTACATTTTTGAGCACTTTTCTACGGACCAAACAATTCCAGGTTTTCACTTATTGTTATTCATTTGTATTGCATAAGATCCTAGGAAGTAGGTGCCACTGTGAATCCCATATTGCGGGAAATCAAGGCTCAGGAGGGTAAGGGAACCAAGGCTCAGGAGGGTAAGGGAAGCCAGAGTTCAGGTGATCGAGGAAATTAGATGCTACACCCAACTCAGCTGGAGGACCAGAGGATACAACAGAGACCTGAGGCTAGAAGGGGTGACACATAGAACAAGCTTAGCAGCAGGAAGGCAGCTCTGCACACCCCACCCAGCTCTTATCCCGGCACCAAAAGGTCTGGCTAAACTCATGCAGAGAAGCTTCCAGATCATGCATCCATGCACTGAAGCTTCTGGGCTGAGCTTGCCAACTCACAGCATTCCCATCTCCTGTCCTCACCATCTTCTCTCTCATCACAGCCAGAGTGGCAAAGGCCATGCAGACCCAGGGATTTGGGACACCTTAGGAAAAGGGTCCCTGTCACACACTTCCACAGCAAGAGGACTCTTATTAACCTCTTTCTTCTCCAGCACCACAATAAAAAAGAAGAGTTGCCAGTCTGAGTGGCTCCTGCAGACCCATCTGTTTACATGCATGGCAAGACAGGGCTCCGAGTGCTAGGAGGGGCATCTTCAGTTTATTTCCTGCCTCCCTCTGTTCTCTCTCTGGTACCCAAGGGCTGTATTTTCCTTCCTCAATGCTTACTAACGCAGAAACAATGACTCAAGGGAGTCACTTTCCTAAGATGTAGAGTCAGATGGAGACAGGGACTTCCTGCTCTTTGATTTGAGAGAGCGCTGGGGCCAGGACAAGTGCAGGGAGGAGTCAGGGAGGTGACTTAGCTGGAAGACAAATGAGCAGAGGGATCGGAAGAGTTTTCAGCTGAGAAACTCCAGAGCCCAGTAGGAAGGGCTTGCTGCTGAGCTGTCATTGACAGTGGACACCCTCTGATGTGGTCTGGCTGTGTCCTCACTCAAATCTCATCTTGAATTGTAGCTCCCATAATTCCCACTTGTTGTGGGAGGGAACTGGTGGGAGATAATTGAATCATGGGAGCGGTTTCCTGCATACTGTTCTAGTGGTAGTGAGTAAGTCTCACAAGATCGGAGGATTTTATAAGGGGTTTCCCCTTTCTCTTGGTTCTCATTCTCTCTTGTCTGCTACCATGTAAGACGTGCCTTTAGCCTTCCACCATGACTATGAGGCCTCCCCAGGCACATGGAACTGTGGGTCCATTAAATCTCTTTTTCATAAATTACCCAGACTTGGGTATGTCTTTATCAGCAGCATGAAAACAGACTAATACATCTTTCCTGACCCATCACCACCGGTCAAGGCACCATCCAACAATCCTGAATATCTGCAACTACCTCCCACTCCCCCAACCAAGAGAAGGAGGAGCCCTAGACACCTTCAGTGCAGATGCAGTCATGATAGGACATCTTAGCCTTCCTCATGGAAGAGAGACAGGGCAGAATGGCTGGGAATTTCCCCCTTCACCAGGGACAGCAGTGGACAGCCTACATCTGTGTCAATTACCCCCATTTCGTAGATAAACACACTGAGGCTCAGGGAGATTAACTTGCTTCAGCTAATGATTGTTCTGAAAATGCAGCTCTGACTGTGCCACTTGAACGCTGAAAGCCCTTCAGTGGCTCTTGAAAGCCAAACAATTCCATGACCACATCCTGTTCTTTCTTCTCCTTTGAACATTTGACTCCCACTGTCTATGACGTCCTTCCACGCTCTTGCACTGCTTTGAAAATCTGAGATTCCACAGGGCTGTTATCTCCTCCTCTAATCTGGAGGTTCGATTTAGACCAAATCCGCCACTCCCTCCTCCGGGCACCAGGGCCGCTTCGAAACTATGTCAGTTACTGTAGCTCAGGCTTTTCCGCACTTCAATCATTCATATTCCTTTTTTCACATTTCTTCCTGCCACCTAAACTGTTATTTGCTTAGCATTTTAAAAATCTAGTCACATTTCAACTTAACTAAATTTGAAAAAGGAAACTTATATCACCACTATTAATGGCAAGCCAGTATCACAAGTCATAAATGGAAGATAAGCATAAAAATAAATAAAAGCAAAGCAGTGCCAGTAAATTCTAGCTATATACTGCTGGCTGCTGAAGGTTCTGAGTCAGGCTTTGTGTCTTCTCCTTGTTAAAGGAAAAAATTATATTAGAAAGTTGTTAGAGAGCATATTGCCATCAAATGAGATTTTCTTGTCCAAGTAATTAGAAAGAGTAAAAGAAGACACAGAAAATAACCTTATCATAATGTGGTTTAATTTTATTTAATAGCACAACTACATAGCACCTAAAACAATCTCAAGTAGCAATTGAAATCTTCTTGCAAATCAGCAGTGCTATGTGCTCTGCATCTTAGGAAATACTATTGTATTTGTACAGATAGTTTTAAAAATCAATAAACAGGGATGTGTGAAGATTTGCAGTGTCTTGCCCTGTCCTCAACAACGTGCCCTATACTGATTAAAGGAAAACAGAACTGACATGCAAAAAGCACGGCAAAAATTTAGAAATAGAAGCAAACTGAATTCTAGAGCAGGAGCCAGGAAACTTTCTCTATAAAGAGCAAAACAGGAAATATTATAGGCTTTGCGGGACGGTCTGGATCAAGTGAATGAGTGTGGCCCTGGTCTAATAAAACTTTATTTACAAAAATAAGCAGTGGCCTAGGCTCCAGGAGTTTGCTGACCCTCGTTTTAGAACAAGTGTTTCAAGAAGGATTAGGGAAAATAAGAGCAACCACGTGATAAAAAATGACTGCAGTTTAATTGGGAAATGAAAATCCTAGCATGCCTTTCACTTCTTCCAACTTTGTTATTAGAAGAACCTTTTGATTGGGCAGTGGACACAGCTGGCCACAGCTGATTGAATCAGAGGTAAGTTCCTCAACCTGAGCCAAGCCAATCGGATTCCCCCTCCTAAGAATTTGAATTAGGGCACTCCAAGGAGTCAGTCCTGGGTCCTTCAACAGAGAATACACAGATCTTCCTAGAGCGGTCCTTTTCTTTTTTGTTTTGTTTTGTTTTGTTTTTTGTTTTCTGTTTTTTGTTTTTGAGACAGATTCTCACTCTGTTGCCCAGGCTGGAGTGCAGTGGCATGATCTTGGCTTACCTCCTCCTGAGTTCAAGCAATTCTCTTGCCTCAGCCTCCCAAGTAGCTGGGATTACAGGCTTCCATCACCACACCCGGTTAATTTTTGTATTTTTAGTAGAAATGGGGTTTCACCATGTTGCCCAAGCTGTTCTCAAACTCCAGACCATCAGCAATCCACCCATCTAGGCCTCCCAAACTGCTGGGACTACAGGCATGAGCCACCACACCCGGCCTAGCGTGGTCCTTTTCTACCACTGTGCAGGCAAAGAGGAAGAAAATAGATGTTTGAGGCAGAGGGGGAAAAAACCAAAGAAGGTAAGAGAACAAGCAGAGGCCTTGCTTTCAGTTTCCAACCTCTCATGAGGCTTAGCCGTTTTCTGTTAGAAACCTTTATATCCCTCTAATAAAGTTATTTTTATTTATATTACTTTGAATGGATTATGTATCTGAGAAATCCCTAAGACAAAATTATTACATAGGTAGCTTAAATTCTTAATAATAATTAGAATACATGAAGCCAAGTAGCATCAGGTCAGTATGTGACCTTAAACAAGGCAAATTCCACTC